TGCTCAGTTGGGGTCTGGTGCTTTTGCCAACCTCCATCTCCCAGACTCATGAACCAACTCACTACAAACTGCAGTCAGTGAGTTGGAAGTGCAGAAGAAAGGCAACACGGGGAATAGGATGATCTGACTGTCACCATTCACCTCCCTCGGGTTAGGGTAACATCCCCCCTGGTCCTAACTGAACTCCTTCCATTAGTTTTTTATAACAGAGCTAAAGACTCGACAAAGTTTAATCCTTTCCTCCTAGACTTAGTAGGAATCATCAAAGAATACAGTATGACATCTGTGCGGGAAATGACGACTGACCTTAGAGGTAGAAGTAGAAGCTACAGTTGAGGCAACTGAAAAATTCCTGAAATTCACTGGAATCAAAGAACTGGAAAAGTATCAGCCAAACATTTGTTGTTCTATTTTCCTGAAGGCAAAATGGACTTCCTGAACAAAAAGAATAAAAAATAAGGCGTGCAAGGTCAAGTCTTGCTTGCAGGAATGGCAATCAGGAGCACTACGTGTATCTAACAGTCCATGGTTGGATTGAGTGAGTCAATGATCAGAGTGCTACAGAAATGGGGCTGCTACTGCATCCTACAAAGCACAAGGCTGCAGAGAAATGTCTTGCAGAACTGGGGGAGAATGGAGAGGAATTGCTGGATCAATTGTGAGACAGCTGGGAATGCAGAGCAAGGAAAAGATTTGTGGGGACTTCTTGCTTCCATCCCCAATTTCTGCGTATAGCATTTGTCAGGGAAGTTGGCAGGAATAACAAAGGGACAGCAGTAAGGTAAAGCCCAGGAAATATTTTCAGAGTGCAGGGAGCTTTCTAAGACAACAATGGAAGATTGCAGCTCGTATGGAAGCAAACACAGACCAAAGTTGTGTCCTGTCTTTGGGAAGAGCTCAATAGTTACAAGAAGCAAATCATCTTGGAGAAGTCAAAAGACAAGGCCAAAATAGGATCGAAGATAAACGACTGTATATTCTGCATAGTAGGAGGATTCTAGCAGCTCTCTGCAATGACAAAATGAAACCAGCAATACAGAAGAGAATTTTTGGGTGGGAATTGCTTGTGAGACAGCCAGTGGCAGAACTGGACTGAGTTGTGAATGAACATGGTGGAACCAACATGATGCAGATGGGACCAGTGCTCAAGTCACAAACTAAAGCGCCAGGACAGAATGTGGTTGTGTTGACTGCAAGCAGGTACAGCTCAGATCATATAACTACGAGGAAGTGTCATTTTGCTGATATAGAGGACTACTGGTCGCAGAGCTGAAAGCACGTCAAGCACTTCACTAAGAGATTGCAGTGTAAAAGGAGGAGAACACAGCAAAGAAGATAACTTTTAGGATGCCTTTAATGGCATTGGAAAACTGCCAGCAGGATACAAAAATGAAGCTGGTACTGTTGTTCATGTAACTTTGAGGAGGAAATGTGGAATCCTGTACATGAGGAACTTGTAAGTATGCAAAACTTCTGAAGATGGAAAAAGACCTATGTTAAATACGCCTCGGGTGAGACACGTTCAGGTTAGAAAGAAGATGAAATACATTAAAAAAGACTCCACTAAAACAAACCAAACAACAGAGATACTTCCAGACACTCTGGACTCATAAATCCAAGGCAGCCACAGATTTATTGTACCATCAGAGCATACAACCGTCAGTGATGCAGCAGAGATCAAGCCCTGACCCCAGGTTTTGTAGAAATCCGCCTGGAAAATATAACAATAGGTTTCCTCAACTGCTCAAAGCCACCAAGAGGTTTTCTCTACAGGCCACTGTGATGGTTACAGGGAAAGAACCTTTCCTTTAACACCAATGCAAAGAACAACTTCAAGGGATGTGGGGAAAGCATCATTAGCATAGGTAGAACCTAATACCGATAAAGCTTCCTCTCTCCTTAGCTCATGGCATTCCAGACCAGGAGGCAACTCTGCATATGGAGAATACTTAAGCAGTCAGTGAAGAGACCAAGGTCCTGCTATTGTGGCTGGCCAACAGCCCCTTTATGGCAGACCTTCTAAGCCAGAGCTACATAAAGATGTAGTGCTGCTTTCTTCCCAGCCTTGCACAGGGTAGTACTGTTAATGCTTCCCTGCACACGGTTCTCTTCTTGCTAACACTGGCACATACTCAACGATGCTAACAAGATGACTCTCATACATAATGACTGATCATGGAGTCGTGGGTTAAAACTCCAAATTTGAATCTTAATACTACATTAATACTGCATCACCAGTAAACTCTGTGACAGCCACATTTACCCGCATCACATGGAAGTCCTGCGCTTGAATTAATGCCACTGAAAGATACTGCCCAGTAGTGAGGATGCTATGGAGAAGCCAGACTGCAGCAGGAGCCAGCAGCAATTCAGCTGCTGAAAACCACAGATCACAATTACATTTCTGAAAGGTAGAGATTTTACTGGGGAGGGGAAGGTAACTTGGGGAGGGGACATGCAGCTCATAGTGACCCGTTTTTGTGTCCCCCCAGTCAGCAAGAGCAAGGGATTCCTCATGGCAGTGCCGCATACAAGTGTGGTTTTCCTTTTGTCTGGCACACCCCTGTGCTGTTAATCCCAGGTAGAGGGCTGGTGGCCAACAGCTGACAACGACCCACTAAATATAGCTTAACTCTTTACTACCCACGTGTGCTTTGCTCCCTCCACTCTGCCCCATGGTGCTCTCCATGATTTGAACTCATCACTGGCCAACCAACTTCGTGCTGTCAATCCAGGATCATGCTCAGCTCTCTGACCCACTGCCATCACCAGACATGGGCAACCCTCAGCAGCAGATGGCAGTGGGAAACAGAGGAGAAGGGTCTAGGAGGTAGCTTGAAAGGTGGAGGTGAAATGTGAAGATGGCAGCAAAGCTGCCTGAAAATCTCATTGTGTTATTTTTTGTATCCACCCATGCACACATGCACATGCACAACTATTTCACAGTGTTAATGTTAGCAAATGCCTTTCCCCTTGTTACGTGTTCTCCCCATGAAGCTGTATTTTGTCATTAGACTCACATTTCATAGCGGTACATTTGACACCCATTAGATAAATACATTAAAGTCACTTCAGTGACTCTGCCCTCCTCCACTGAAGCATGCTCCAGAGGCATTTGCAACCAAAGTACTTTCAGGAACTTGGTTCCTTGTGCTCCCAGGAGAGCTTGAGGGATGCAGAAAATTGCAGTGGTTTATGGATCATGTCCATTTTAGGTCCAGTTCTCCATTAGTCCTACACAAGCACAGACAGATGTCACAGCAAAACCTGGTATGAACAGATGGGAATGTGTTAACTTTTAGCACTGACAACATGTGATTTTTGGTCAGAAGAAGAGACAAGGATGTGCTTTCTCTGTCCTGCAGACAGCTGCCACGGCTTTGGTGAGTTATGGCACTGAGCTTGGTATGGTCCCATCCTTCACAGTGGGTTGGGTCTGGTAGGTAGATGTGTACAATGGTAGCCAGTGAGGAGATTCAGTGCATTAAGACAAAATGTCTCCAAATGAAGACCTGAAGTGCCCTTCCAAGCCCTAACGAGGACTGGCTCTGAAGTGATGCTGCCTGGCCATTGCTTCTCCCTTGTGTCTGCAGGAATGTAAGGGACGGCAGAGAACAGTCAAGAATTGTCTGGGAGGGACAACTGAAGGGCATCATGTGCTCCTTCCACATGGCTGCCCCATAGGAATCTGCTGGTGAGTTTTCTAGGCAGACAGCTCTCCTTGCAAAGCTCTCTTGTACATAAAGCAGCCAGTTGGCTATAGCTAGACAACCTGCCACAGCACCACGCTTCCCTCACCCGGGACTGCCACCAACCAGCTTCAGACATGCCTTTGGGAGAGACTGACCACTGTTCCTTGTTAAAATACAGCAGCTACAATGTGAGACACAGACGGACCATGCGAGCAGTTCTCACTACTGCTCCACGCTTGTACTGGACAGGGCACATGGAGAAGCTCCTTGTTTCTCTGTGGTGCCCTCTGCAAGCACCAGCTATCCATTTGCTTTAGTTGACACCATCAGTTTTTGCATGCTGGTCCTTAAGTCCATTTCCTGACCAGGAGCACAGCTTTTTAAATGCAACAACATTAAAAGCATCCCTTCTTTAGACACACAGGCTAAACCTGCCTGGATATAGGACAGCAGCTCATTATGTCCAGGCACCACCTGCATATAAACATGCCTATAGTCCACTGACCCCTCCCTCCATATCATATTCTGCCATCTGATAGAGATGTAGGGCAATGGCACCGCTGTCAGAGCGGGAGCACTGTGGACACTGAGTACAGAATACATCCCTGTGTGTCCAAGCATGCACCTGCTACTAAGTTAACGTGACTACAGATGCACTTTTGATTGCAAGAACAGCAAAATACCAACAACACAAATGCAAATACGATGCTGCACTCGAGATTGCGGGTCAATAGGGGCTGGGGGGGAAATTCCACTTACAGCCCCTGCTGCTGATGCTGTCCACCAAACGTTGGGACACTGCAAGAGCTAAGCAGAGAAACACCTCTCACTTGTAAGGAATGCTCTGCTGCCACTCCTAAGTTCTTCTTTGTTGGATCTGGTCTGAAAGTGGAAAATACTAAGTATTTTATAAATGGCCTCGTATTTTACAAGCAGTCTAGGGAGGTGATGTCTGGCCACAGGAGTCTAGACAGCTCGGGAGTTCCATCCACAGCAGACACACTTCCTCTTGGATGCAGCTCCTGGAAAACACAGCAAACCAGCTCCCTATGAACATGCCTCCAACACCCTGTGCTGCTGAAAACAAGTGGAGGACCCTACAGGTGGCAACTGCAGACAAGGGCTTGTAAACACAACTATGCTGGCCATGGCCAGATGTGTAGAAATATGCCACATGTGGCTAGAGGAAGGCTACTGGTGGAAGGCATGTTTAGAAGGATACAAGGTGCTGAACAAGGAGAACAAGCCTGATTCTCATTTGCACCCTCCTGCGCTTCGTTGGTGGCATTTACACAAACCAAAGACCTGGTCGGTAACTATAGTATTTATTTCAGTTATTTATAAAGCCACTGACTGATCATTCAGCTTCAACCACAGCATTCTGCCTCTGGAGACCTGGGCTCCTGCATCAGAAGTCTTGCCTTTGCCATCCCAGGCTCTCCTCAAGGCGACTGGCTGAGTCTGAAGCTGTTTCAGAGCCCCCAGCGCATCATCTAACGAAGGGACTGGGCTCCCCAGACGGCACAGAGCACCAGAGAGTGTGATCACTGCAGTGAACCATCCACAACTTGGCAGCTAATACAATTCCCATTCCATGAAACCACATGCTGTGAGCTCCTCTTAGAGGTCGGGGCTTACCCTGCCTTTCTGTGGTCCATACACCAATGACACCTTTCTAAGCAGTCAGGCATTGCATTTCCAAAGGGCTCTGACAGCCAGCTGTGGAGTTATCATTCCCTCCCACAACCCATCCATCCTCCCCTGTCTTTCCCTCTCCCCTGCAGCTCCCTCCCCAAACCCTACGATGCTGCTCAGCCCTGCACCAGCAACCCTGAATCGAGTGGGTGATCATTTTATCTTGGCAAACAACTGGAAACCCAACATCAGAAACGTCGGTCGGGCTGTGACAAATTGCAAAATAACAAACAAGCAAATGGGAGGAAATGTGCATATAAAAAAACCCAATTCTCCTGGCATATTGTCAATAAGCTGCAAATTTCCTTCCCCGGGGAAGGGGTTTAAGTTCTTGAATGATATGATGCTTGGAGATGTCATTTTTCATTAGAAAACCCCAACCAACCAAAAATTTCCAACCCCAAACTCCCAATCTGGTGTGAACAAAAGAAGGTAAAAGGACAAATCTCCCAACAATGACAACCGAAAAATAAAGGTACACATCAGCATTTGTAATCAAAAACTACTACATACTGTACTTGGGAAGTCTTCTGGGGAAAGATCATTGGCATCTAGTGAGGACATCACTAAAAGTCTTGTGCATATGATATGTATGAGACAATGATGCCACTGGAGGGTGGATGGACGGACCCTTAGGAAACTGTCACTCACAAAACCGTTCCATGACAAGAGAAAGTAAGAGATGTAAAAAGGATTGGTTTTCCCCATCCCCACCCCCTGAAGCATTACAGATTCCTTCTCAATTGTCGGAAACAGCCTCTTCTAGTCTCAGTTTATTTGTTTGTTGGGGTTTTTTGTGTTTTGTTTTGTTTTTTTTTTTATTTTTTAGAAAAAGTCTTCATCTTTTAAGAAGTCCACCCATTTCTGAGATGCACTTGGCTCCACAGCACCAAAGAGCTTCAGCTCTCTCTCCCCTTTGATTTGCTAACAGGGGCTTTAGGGAAGGACCGCTGACCGCATGCCATTCCCAGAGCCACCAGCCCATGTGAGAAAGAGAAGTGCTTCTTGGGACCTTGCTTTGCATTCATCTTCTTGAAGAAGTCTCATTGCTCCAGAGGTGCTGGGCCCAGCTGCAGCAGCCTTGTGCAAGAGGAAACAGATGAAGCTGCTCTCTTCTCTTCCTTTGGAGACTCCCATTGGTCTTGGAGCCCTTTTCAAGAACACAATTGCTTTATTATTATTTAAAAATATTTCATAGTTTGTGGTTTTGTTCTTTTTTTTTGTTTTTCTGTTTTTTTTTTTTTTTTCAAAACAGTTGTCTTTTTTTGTTCCCTTTTTCCATTGCTTAAATTCTAGAAGCTCTTGGTGACTTCCCATTGCTGATGGCAGGGCATTTCTTCCTGTTGCCATGATCCTCAGAGCAGCTGCCTGTCTCTGGTCCACGTAGAACACTCAAGAACTGTAGTTCGGACATACAAGGGCAAAGGGGAGTAGGGCCTCAAGGAAGAGGAGTAGGAGGACGCGTTGCTATCAGACCTCCACAGACTGAATTTGGTTCATCTGTGCTCTCATCACCTGGATACTGTTAAGGATTTTCTTCTGATGTCCTGCTAAAGTGACCCCAACTCGCAGAATGTCCCTTTTGGAGGAAAAGAAACAGACACCATATAAATATCACATTTTTCTCACAGCAGAACAAGTTGATATATGAGCACATTCCATATATGCACCAAATACATGCAAACCTAATGAAACTTCTACTCTTTCTTTTTGACTCTCCCTGGCTTTGCAATTGCTACCTACCTGCATCACCCCTGCAGTATTGGAACCTCAACAGAGACCACAGGCTCTGCTCATTGTCTGTAAGTGAAGGTTTTCTACCTTAAGGTTTTCTACCCATGCATTATTTTGTTTCTTCGTTGCATGTTTAGATTATCTCTCTCTTTTTGTGACACAGTAACCCATTTTTTCCACCCCTGGGGACACACATCATCAGCATTGTGAATCCCACTCCCCCCGGTGCAGATGATGGTTGTTCTCGCTACTTTTGGTTTGATCCGATGAGGCCATCAAGTGATAAACTTCTGCTACTTACCCTCTTTGCTAAATCACAGCAATCTCATTTTTTCCACTGCTTCTATTTTTTATAGAGAGTAGGCATCTGGGATTAACAAAGGCTGTGCCAAGAGCATGGAAGTGACTCTGCGTTGTTCGTACCTGCGGTCACTCCAGATGAGTTTGTTACTCATCTCCTTGGTGGATAAATCTCACTCATGAATTCTTCTAATCAGGCAACAGATGGCATTCAGGAGATGTGACCTGTACCTGTCTGTAAGGATTTTCAGCTGCCTTTTCTCCTTCCTTGAGTGTTACAGAATAGATGTTTAAGTGTGGCAAAACCCCTGCCTGTTTTAGAGTGGAAGTCAATGGGCAAAGAAGGGTAAACAGGTGCTCCAAGGAAAGGGGAGCAAAAATCCTCTAGCACAAGTGGCACATGAGCCTTCAGAGCTTGCTTTAGACTTTGTTGTCCCAGGCAGATGTGCTGAACTAGAGGATTTCTCTTCTTGGGTGAGTCTGGCACCTTGACTTTAGCTTTTGTTCTGATTGGGAACAAAGACCAAAGACTTCACTCATGTCTATAAACCAGTATAAGACTGTGGCCCCACACAGCCCTGTGCTTCCTCAGCTTTCTGCCCTGGACACAGACACTTTGTTGGCCCAGGTGTCCCAGCCTACAGACAAACATAGGCAGGCTGGGATGTGCCAGTTTAGTCGAAGTTCTTTTTCCTTCTCCTTCAGATTTTATGGACCCTCTTTTTGTTGTATGAACACAGCCTGTAATGTGCCAACATCATCCCCAGGGCCTTGGGGTTGTATCACAGATGTACTGAATAGTCAGAACGGCCATATGAATTTCCTAGCAGCAAATTAAGAACAGAAAGCCAGAGATGGTCAGTCTGGCTGTTTGCTTGAGTGGATTCTGACCCATTAGTAGATTTAAAGACTGGAATTAGGGACCAAGTAAAAAAGAATTCCTGGTTACGAGGCAGAGACACTGCAGCACTTACAGATGGCTTTAATGCTTGGTGCTTTCTTAGGCAGGTTTGCTAAAGTTAACTGCAACCAACCACAAATCTTTCACCAGAAGCATCAAAGTCCCAGTTTGCCCCAAGGGATTTCAAAACCCACCACAAACAGATTTCAGCTGCCTGCTTTCTCTGAAGAATTTGCTAAGACTTTGCCACTAAGGGATGTTTTTAGTCGATGCAGGGCAATTTAGAACACATCTGAAACCATCTGGACCTTCAGAGGCCTTTCTTAGTCAGAATCCGTTTGCAGTGTGCTTGTCGCCATCACCAATATGTCATACATCCGAAAGGACTGTGGAGTCTATAGGTGCTCTTGAGTGGCTGGAGAATGGTCTGGTGCTGGCCTAAATTCTCTATTTTTATCATGTGGGGGTTTAGGAGACCCTTGTGGGGTTCTTGCTTTCACAGGGGGGATGTGCAGCGTGATAGTGCTGAAATGAATTCTGCAGACCCAGGGCAGCAGACAGACACACACCGGCCGGAGACAAGACAGAGCACGCAGCACAAAGTAGTCCTGCAGAAACTGAATGGACTAGAAGTGGGTCCAGAAGGCAACAAGTTTTATAGAAACTACATTGTGGGAGAATAAAAACTAATTCAGTAACAACCAGTTGTTGTCAAACTGCTGAGGCTTTTCCTTGTGCTTTGGGAATAGAAGCCAGGGCACTTACTCTACAGTCATCTGAGATACTATGTCAAAGGTGGTGAAGCCAGCACTGGCAAAGCTCTCCTTGTACTGGCTCATCTTGATGGCATCCAGCCATTCATCCACAGTGTTGAAGCTGGTATAATCTGGGATTGTGCGGTCAAGTAGGGGGAGGTTCATCCTGAAACAGAGAAAATGGGGAATGAGCACAACAAAAAGCACATGCATTTCTGCAGCCTCCATCAGCTGAAGAGATCTGGATCAGCACCATTCACAGTGCCTGCACTGCACCTTATTATGAAGTACCAATCAGAAAACAGTCTAATTCAACTGAGGGAAAGATGGTGTAGAGCATCAGAGAAGTCTTACTGGATCAGTTTGTACAGGAGAGGTAGAAGCCTTCAAAGGTGATGGGATGCAGCTCTAAAATCATGGCTGCAACAGAGGAGAAAATACATTCTCTGGGTTTATCTCCACCCAGTCCAGGGAAACATCGTACTGCTGGATGAGGCTTTATTTGCCTCCATTGAATGCGAGATTCAACTACCAAAGCAACCACACTCACTGAGCATCATGTGTACGTGAAACCAATGTGCTCCTTTAACTGCAGTTAGAGTCACCGTCCAACTCAGTGAGCTGTGTTCACCACATCTAACATGTCCAAGGAGAGGGACCGGTGACCTTGACTTCTTTTAATACCCTTCCTATAAAGGACCAAACATCACAGGGCAAGCTGCCTCTGACATAACTAGCCTAGAGAGATGCAAAGACGGTACCTACCAGGACAAAAAGGACAGCAGATCTGCAAAGAGAAGCCATAGGACAAGAGGAAGACAGAAATACACACCCAGAGGAAAGAGGTGCCATGGCTTTCAGGCTGTTAGGATTTCGGATCATTTTATCTAAGGTGTTGACAATTTGCCCAAATTTGGGTCTGTGGTTTCGATCTTTCTGCCAACAGTCAAGCATTAGCTGGTGCAGGGCATTCGGACAATCCATAGGTGGTGGTAGCCGATAGTCCTGCTCAATAGCATTTATCACCTACAAGAGGAGAAAGCGAGATCAATACAGTGGCAATAAAACCTATTTAATTCATCATGTTCCTTTTCCTGGACTCGGAGTGTAACTGGCATGACCAGACATACTGCAGCAGGGCTGACTGCTGCCTGCCATCTCAGCCACCACCATGTATTACTGTAGCTCCCAACCCTCTCCACGTCATGATATCCAGTGAGGAGATGATGGCCTTGTTCAGCTGACATGCAGCCTTGCTGACTACATGCAATGAGCCATGCCCATAAGTCTCCTAAACCAGGGAGAACATCCCCTCTACTTTGACAAGGATGTGTAAGCCTGCAGTGTCAGGCATGAGGAAGGTGAGTCAGAGAAGGGTCTGTAGTTTTGTACGGGTACACAGCCCAACACAACAGCTCACTGGGAGGAGAGCATCCCTGTCCAGTGAAGTGTCTGTTTGTGAGTTACAGGCAGGGGAAGCTGCCCCTGTGTTCTCCTTTCTCCAGTGGTACTCTCTGCTCACTCCTGCCAACAACCCAGGTGACAGTCATGCTATGAGACAGGGTTGGGTGCACTGAGCCAGCAGAACATGTTGGATCTCCCTACAGTCCTGTGCAATGCAAACTGGGGCACGCAGTGGGGAGGACCAAGACCTTGGTCAACAGAACCAGACACATGACAACTTCGCTACAGCACATACAGAAGGGTTGCAGCACACCTTGCCTAAGCCATGCTGCAGCTCTGTGGGCCAAACACAAGGCGGCTTTGGCTGCTGCATGTTTGGTCTCTCCTTACTGCATCACACAACATGGGAAAATGTCTGGTCTTGCACTGTTCAGTGGAAAAAGCACAGGCACAAGGGCTAGAGGCTCTTCTTCAAGAGGAACCCTTGGCATTCTGCTCCTGCAGCCCTCCATCCTCTCTATGATCAAGGAGGATGCAGCTGCACAGCTTTTTCCAGGGGCTTCTTACACATCACAGTCCAAGCTTGCCATGGGAAATTTAATGACCCTCTAGTAGATGACCTTGACCACAGCAGGGGGGTTGGACTAAGTTATCTTTAAAGGTTGCTTCCAACCCAAACCATTCTGTGACTCTAACAAACTTTTACCAAATGCCTGTGATCTCCTGTAGATGAAGATGTGCTTGCTGCTCCAGGAGCAATCAGGTCAGTGGTAGCATTTCCTTTTCCACCTGCCTGCTCCCTTTCCTCCTGGATATCTGTCTACCATCCCTGAGGGTGCTCCCATTAACCCTGTCCTATTGCACTGGGTGTTGTACAGTCCCTAACCTCTGCCACAGCAGCACAAAAGCCAAAGTTATCCCCATTACTTCTCCCAAAGGTGTTGACCTTGGACACATCTCCCATGACAGAGAAGGTTCCGGACATGCCACAGGCTGGGTCTAGCTGTAGCTATGCTTTGGCCTTGCATTGCTTCCAATTTCAGTGTTTCTGCTCCTTGTTTCTTAACAACTCACATCTTGATTGGTCATATCCCAGTAAGGCCGCTCGCCATACGACATCACCTCCCACATGACTATTCCATAGCTCCACACATCACTGGCCGATGTGAATTTTCGGTACTGAATTGCCTCAGGTGCTGTCCATCGTATGGGGATCTTCCCACCCTGCAGGAAAAAAGAACAGGATAGTAACAGAAAGAGCAAGAGTAACTGGAAAAGACAACTGTCCAAAACTGCCCCAGGACTACCCTTAACACGACATCAGGGTGTCTGTGGTTTGTCGAGCAAAGGCCACAAAACCATCAAGGATGATGATTCCCCTCATTTGTATCATGATCCATCTCAAGGCTGCTCCAGCCTCTTGGGGAAGAAGCTTTTTCTGTTACCTTGAACTTCTCAAGCCATGGTTTTATCTATTGCTTCTTATTGCACCATCTTAGAGTCATAGACTGGTTAGGGTTGGAAAGGACCTTAAGATCAAGTTCCAACCCCCTGCCATGGGCAGGGACACCTCATACTAAACCATATCACCCAAGGCCTCATCCAACCTGGCCTTGAACACTGCCAGGGATGGAGCATTCACAACCTCCCTGGGCAACCCATTCCAGTGCCTCACCACCCTTACAGTGAAGAACTTCCTCCTTAGATCCATCTTGTACCACTGCAGAGTTTGGCTCTGTCTTCTTCGTAACTGCCCTTCAAGTACTGCAGGTCACTTACAGATTCCCTCTCAACCTCCTCTTCATAGTATTAAACAAGCCCAGCTCCTTCTACCTGCCTACTCCTATAGCAGACTTCAGAAGGACAAAATGCCCTCTGTGCTGGTAAGGTCTTCAGTGGCAAAAACGAAGGGTGGAGTGAACATCTTTAGTATGGCATGCTTGGTCCCTGGTGGAAATGAGATGGACCGGGTAGGCTGTGGGGTCCCTGTCATCCTGCTGAGCAACAGCAGCTCTGGAGAAAGCAGTACTCTCCACTCCCATAGAGGAGCTATGCATTGAAGTGCAGAAGAGTGGCATACGCAGCATGGGGCCACAGGACAACGCTCTGCTTAATGTAGCCTCTTTCCACCAAGAACTTTGGACTTGAGGCATTCACAATTCAAGAGGCTTTCTGAAGGGAAAAATCTTCTCCTGTGCTGAAAAGGAAGCAAACCTGTCTGTGTTCTGTGGCTCTGAGAAGATAAAGGAACATTGTATTTTCTCAGTGAATAACTACCATGTCTTACTAAGGGTCTTCTAGGACTTAATAGGACTCAGACCCTGTACATGCTAGAACAAGATAATGTTCCTTAATCTCCTCAAAGCCACAAACCTCAGACAAAATCATTTGGTTTCCACAAGAAGGGGACACCAAGCACTCCATATCAACCATGCTGTCTTCCCCATCAGGTATAGTATTAACAGAGCTCCTGACAAGCAGCAGACTTCAAAAATGGCTAAAAAGAAACCCATGGATTTCTCCACTGCCCCAACAATGACTTATGGGCCAATATTCATTACAATCCAGCCTTAATAGTCCTGTGCAAACGTATCAGAGGACTCCCATCTGGGCCACGCTGGGTGGTTATAATGCACCATCCCAACTAAAAGCTTTATCAAGGACATGTAGATGTTTGCAGATATGCTTGGAAGAAGACCCAGTTATCCACAGGAATAGGGCCACCAACAGCCACAGGACAACTGGACAGGAGTTTGCAAGAGAAAATCTTGATTCATTTCATTGGTTTTTCCCATCTGGCACCTTATTATTGGTGACATCCTGAAAGATGTCAAAGGGGAAGGATCTTCCCATTTCCCTGACTGCTTCCTTCACCTCCCATCCCTCCCCCTCATGAAGAGCAGCTTTACCAGTGCACTGGTATAGGTAGGATCAGAGGTGTCATCCTCCAGAAACCGAGAGAGGCCAAAGTCAGACACTTTGCAGACCAGGTTGCTGTTCACCAGGATGTTGCGGGCAGCCAGGTCCCGGTGCACGTAGTTCATATCGGCCAGGTACTTCATGCCTGCGGCGATGCCCCGCAGCATGCCCACCAGCTGGATCACTGTGAACTGCCCATCGTTTTGCTTAGGGGAAAAGAGGGAAAGAGTCCACATGAGAGGAGAAAATGCACAGCCTGGCATGGTGAGGCTAACAACCAGTAGCCTCTTTCTACACTGCATGTCATTACACATCTATTCCACAAGTACCGAAGCTCCCTCTCAAAGAGGGTGAAGAGCTCACAGGGCTGGAAGTCACTCTCACACCCTGTGGGCATCACTGTGATGGCTGCTGTTATCCAAAGGTGGCACATCTGCCAGACCTTGCACAGGAGGGTTCTGAAGGGGCTACCTATTCCTAGGTTATCTCCCTTCAACACAGTGAATTATCCATTTCAAACTCAGACGTGTAAATATTTAGACAGAGCAGCTGGAGGTGAAGCCCTGCTGTGTTAAAGCTATGTCAGACTGTCTTTCCATGTCCACAGAGGCAGAGTTGGTACAGGCATCTGTTGGCATGTGTACAGGTAAGCACAGCCTTTTGCTGGTATGAGCACACACTTAACAGATGACAGCCTTGGTGCCACCTCCACTTCTGTTGCTGAAACACAGACCACTGCTCCAGTGACAACAAATGCTGGGTAGTGAAGGGCACTGCTACACTGGCACAAGGAAGGGACCCTTCCCCTCCAGTCCTCCCCTGGCCCAACATAATCTCTGGAGCTGCATGCTCCTGGGATCTCGTACCCGTAAGAAGGAGTCCAGTGAGCCGTTCTCCATGAACTCAGTAATGATCATGACTGGGGAGCTCTTGGTCACTACTCCCTCCAGGTGGATGACATTGGGGTGGTCAAACTGCCCCATGATGCTGGCTTCGCTCAAGAAGTCCCGTCTCTGCTTCTCCGTGTAACCAGACTTCAGGGTCTTGATGGCCACAAAGATCTCTCTTTTACCAGGAAGCTTGAGATGCCCACTGCACACCTCACCAAACTCCCCTGCAGAGAGGGAAACACGTTGGACTTGGCAGCCTCCCACATCTCTGCCTTTCTCCCTGAGGGACCATGCTCCCTGCATGCCCCTGAGCTCACCACCCACCATCTCATCTGTGCTTCCTCCCTCGCTCCACACCAAAGGCCTCCCTTCAGGTGGATTCATCACTGGTGAGGAGCACTGCACATGGGACTATGCGCACACAGGAACTCCTTGTCTCTAGTGAGGAGATGTACTTACTCCTCCAGTAGTGGACCACCTTCCTCCTGCTAGTCCAGGCTGGGGCTAAGGGCAACACATTACTGACAGTAGGCTTCCCAGTACATGTAAGGCTAAATCCTCACCAAAGCCTGACACCACAAAGGAGACTGCTGCTGAGGGCCAGCCAGCCATTCCCAGTTCACCTACCTGCCCCAATCACCTGCTCAATTTTGACACAAGAGATATCGATTTCTTTTGCAAATTCCCTGACAGCCTCATTGGGATCTTCGTAGGTGAACGGATCGATATAGATCTTCATCCCTGGAGTCACTGCATAAAGGTGAGGGAGAGAGTCAGACAGACAGATGCAAATGGAATGACTGATGGATGTCATCGAGGAAAAGAGAAACCTATTGGCGGTGGTGGGGGACTTTTTTACCCCAGCAAGTCACATCATGAAGAGCATGAAGCAGACACAGCAAGGCAGTTTGAGAGAAAACATGCAGAGCTATGTTTGAACAGGACTATTAAAGCAGGACTGTAATGAATAGTGGGGCGTAAGTCATCGTAGGGCAGTGGAGGGCTACATGATTAGCTAGGACTTCAAACTGTCCACAGAGAACCACACATCCTCTGCAGCAGGATTTGGCTTTAGCAGATCCAGAGGAAAAGCAAGAGGAGCATTTGCTTTCAGGTGGTGCACAGGCACACCAATGCCACACCACGCTCATCATGCTGCAGCACTGCAAGAGGACCGTTGGTAGACTGCAGCTCTGCCCCACCGGCCTCCTCTGCATGCTGCTTCCACCTCATCACACCATCCCATTGGGGGCACAGGAAAGTGGAGAAGACCTGGGCTTAGCACTCAAGACAGCAGGGACAGTCTGTCCCTGTTCTCCTGATGGTTAACTCTGCCTGAGGTTTGGGTCCCTTCTGTACCCTCAACACTGCCAAGACAGGCTGTAGAGAATGCTGGGGAAACTGCAAAAACCAAGCTCTTCCTGCTAGGCAGACCAGAAGACACAGTGCAATGCTTATGTGAAAGGCAACAGCCATGGGATCTGGTGAGGCTGGACTGCTGATGCCACATTGCACACTACCTACACTGTGAGATGGCTCCTACTTGCAGTTCTCCCCTTTCTATACTTCTTTCCCTGGCCTCTGGCTTGCCCCCAAATTAGGGGTATTTGGAGAGCAGAGCTCACAGCTCACTAAAATAAGGAGCCCAACACAACCAGAGGCACAACTCCTGGCTCCATGTGTAGGATTCAGGGTAGTTCCTGCAATGCTTACAGGCTCCATGCACCTTGGCAATTCGCTAACCATAAGCTGCAGCCTCTCCGCAGCAATCACTGCTGGGGAGCCGGGCCTTGGACTGGCTTCTTGAGTGACGATGTGGCTAAAAGGCACCCCAGGCCCATCATCAGTTCATCTGCACCCAGTGGCATCGTGCCTGTTCAACAGTCGTGAAGGCAAAGCTATTAATGCCATCACAGCCTCAAGTTGTCATGTTCCATACCAGACCCCAGGAGAAAGCATGAATGTATGTTTTCACATGCAGCACGGGCTGACAAACAACTGAGAGCTGCATTTCCATCATCTCTCTTGAGTGTCATTTCTCCTGGTAAGTTACAGCAATGGTGCTGCTCTGGCAGCCTCCGTGCTCTGCTTCAGGTAAATGCAGAAGCAACAGTGAGTCCTGTGCTGAAACACTACTGATGTTTTCCACTCCCTAAAGAAGGCCCAGCTCTGTACAGGAACATGGTAGTCAGAAATCCTGAAGCTGCAAGTACAACACGATGTAAGTAACGACTGAGGTTTGAACAAAGCAGGATTATAGTGACAGATGAGGGAGGAGAAAGGCATTGCAAGGGGTATGCAGCAAGGGGTTAATAAGAGGAGTAAGTATGCACTGGGGTGAGGCAGGGTGTGAAAGCAGATGTGCCTTGCAGTACACAGGGGTATTGGAAGGAGGATACAAGAGAGGGCATGTTATGTGTTGCATTAGATACCTATATAGAGATATATCTTGTATCTACTAGGATTCTGGGAGCACTGGGGTGGGCTCTAGCAAAAGCACCACGAGTTATGTGGGTTCCTTCACAGGACAGTGCTCTGCAGGAGGTGAGTGGATTGAGAAAGGGGTCTTCACTGCTGCCCACAAGCCAAGCAAAGCTCAGGAGTTAGCATAGCAAGACAAGGTGTAGTGCCAGCAGCTGCAGGGGTGCGTGTTGGATGCCACAGGGACTCATAGGGCATCATAGATGTTTGCTGCATGGATGGCACACAACAACACCCAGGTCTGGGGAGTGGGACAGGGATCTAGATCACAGGGGACTGGTGGGTGATGTAGATGGCACAGGTCCTCCTGTCTACCCATGCACACGCCAGCCTGGCTAGGTGGCCTGAGCGCTCCCCACATGCTGCAAGGAATGAGTGAACAGGAACACAAACCGAAGAGAGAGCGGACCCCCAGGCCTGGCGGGGGGCCGCAGTACGTACTGTGGCCACTGGTATAGTGCTGCAGCTTGTCGGTGTACTCAGAGTCTGCACGCTCAAAGCCCCGTCTTCTGGAAAGAAAGGGAGTCCTGAGCACCAGCACGGCTCTGCTGGGGCTGAAGACGCACTGCAGGGGCATCTTTCCCTCTTCATCTCCCAATCCCCATTCTCCCCTTCCCTGCCACCCGCTGCCTCCAGTCACCACCCCCTTGTACAGCCCCAGCCCCGGCCATGGGCTCAGACTGACCTACCTGTTGCATACAATAATGATGACGACCACAGCAATGAGGAACACCAGTCCTGCCGCAGAGGAGCCGATGATGAGCGGCAGTTTCTCCTGGACACTGGTCTGGTATTCAGCTGGCAAGCAAGGAAGAAGGAAGGGATTACTGGGACACAGGATAGGTCTACACTAACAAGTTCACAAAGGTCTCAATGACATCCTACACTGGAGAGATATCACTTTGATGGATGGACCACTCGGATAAAGAATTGGCTGGATGGCCACATGCAAAAGACTTGTGGTCAGTGGCTCAGTGTCCAGCTGGAGACCAGTAACAAGTGGTGTTCCTCAGGGATCGGTGTTGGGACCGATCTTGTTCAACATCTTCATTGCTGACATGGACAGTGGTATTGATGCACCCTCAGCAAGTTTGCTGATGACACCGAGCTGTGTGGTTCTGTTGATATGCTGGAGGGAAGGGATGCCATCCAGAGAGACCTGGATATGCTTGACAGGTGGGTCAATGACAACCTCATGAAGTTCAACCAAGCCAAGTGCAAGGTCAGGGCAATCCCAGTTCAAGTTAGATATAAGGTCTTTACTGTAAGGGGGGTGAGGCACTGGCAAAGGTTGCCCAAATAAGTGGTAAATGCTCCATCTTTGGCAGTGATCAAGGCCAGGCTATATGGACCCTTGGGTGACATGGTGTAGTGTGAGGTGCTCCTGCCCATGGCAGGGGGGTTGGAACTGGATGATCTTAAGGTCCTTTCCAACCCAAACTATTCTATGATTCTAAGGTCAGAACACATCCCTGAGCCATGTCCACATTTGCATGGCTATTGCTAATGGGTTTCCTGGCATGGTTTTGATCCTGGACCTGTAGTGCTATCCCAAGCATGGCTCAGGTTGGCTGTGACTGGAAAAGTGCCCCAGTAGAAAGGCTGGATGGAGCTATCCCTTTTGAGTGGAAATTTTAGTCCCATGAATGCAAGCTGTGCCTTGCTCCTTGGCCTCAGGGCCAGAAAACTGGCTTGGCCTGTTTGATTTAGCAGCACAAATTCAGAAAATAAAGACTCAGGTCTGCATTTGTCATTGACAGCTGTGCACATGAAAATCACAAACCTGGCTTCCCCTAAATCCAACTGAGGCGACATGTCCCCATGCACCCTTGAAGCAACAGCAGGGGGACCAGCACTGCTACCAGTGCTCCTCCATCGTCTCTCTAAACCCTGTTGTCATCTTTATATAAAGGCATCTGAAGGCTTACCTTCAGTCATAGTCTGGAAATACATCTTGCCACTATACCGGCCATACCCAGCCACAGTACGTGCCCGCACTTGGAAGACGTAGATGGTGCCAGCTTTGAGGTTTTGCACTGCCACAGTGTTGGTGGGGCTCTTCACTGTTGTTGAATTTAACTCGCTCAGATCCTGCCAAGAAAACACAGATCTGTCATCAGGGAAGTAAGTGGAGAATGAGGCACTGCACTTCTAGAAGTGGGGATGGGAACTGCTTCCCTCTTCTGTACCCACTTTGTCTTAGCACTGTCCTTATTCCTCACTCTTCTCCATCTCCTTTTGCCTGTGCTGGAGCTAAAGCCCACCTGAACCTAAGGTTTTGGACCCCAAGAGAAGTACTGCTACCTAGGCCTGTGTCATGGTTTAAGCCCAGCCACTAACTCACAACTATGCAGCCACTCACTCAGTGCCCCCTTTTCCCCATGTCCCAGGCAGGATGGGGAGGAGAATCAAAAGAATGTAAACCCCACAGGTTGAGGTAAGAACAGCCCAATAACTAAGTATAATATAAAACTACTACTACTAATAATAATAATGATAAGGGAAATAACAAGGGGAGAGAATATAAAACTAAAAGGGGAAAGGAAAAAAAGCCCAACAAACACAAGCGAAGCACAATACAATTGCTCACCACCCACCGACTGATACCCAGCCCGACCTGAGCAGCGATCTGGGCCTTCTGGGTGACTCCCCCCAGTTTCTACCCTGGGCATGACGTGCTGTGGTATGGAATACCCCTATGGCTAGTTTGGGTCCGGTGTCCTGCCTCTGCTTCCTCCTGGCTTCTTGTGTCCCTCCTCACTGGCAGAGCATGAGACTGAAAAGTCCTTGATCAGGGTAAGCATTACAGAGCAACAGCTATAACACTGGTGTGTTATCAGCGCTGTTCTCAGAGTAAAGGCCGAACACAGCCCTGCAATAGCTACTGAGAAGGAGAAAAAGAACTGTTACAGCCTGCTTCACTCACTGGTTTGCAGTACCCCTGCCCAGTGACTGCTTCACCAGGGACCATGCCAGGCTTTCAAAGCTGGGCAGCCAAACAGCATATTTAGAAGCGACAATGAGACTACTTCCAAATTTGAGCAGCCCCATCATAACGGGATAGATGGCACTGCACTTGTGTAGATGATGGATCCATCACTGTCCTTAGTAATTACGCCCTTTTAGCTGAACATCCAGAAGCACTAGTGCATGGGCAGGGTCTCCATGTGCAAGCTACTGTACAAGAGGACAGCCCCTGCCCTTCCAGGGATATGGAGAAACAGGTCAACAGAGGATGAAACAGGGTGCTGAATGCGGTCAGGGCTAGGTGGGCAGATGCTCAAAAGCCAGCTCAAAGCAGCAATGTATGTAAACAGTGTGGTTTCTGGGAAACACAGACATCTTAGGAACACCAAGCTGGGAGTAGGAGCTCCCCTAAAACAGGCACAGGCAACAGGTTTTGAATCAAACGTGTGTAGCTATGTTGAAAGGGCTCAACCTTTCTGGTAACACCTCTGATCTGGCAGGTCAGGCTGCCTTGGCAGGAGCACTGGTTGGAAGAGATCAGCAGCTGACAGCTCAGAATCTGCGCTGGCAAGTTCACAGGCAAATCTCTGGAATCTGCTCACTTCAGGCACTGCAAAGGGCTCAGCAAGCCCAAGGACTGCCACTCCATTGGGGCTGACTAGTGAGGTGAGGTAACCTCATGAGAAGTAGGCAGGGACTGGCAGAAAGGAGTCAGACACACGGGTTGTGCAATGGCATCGAGTAGGATGGAGGGTGGGATCAAGTAGGACTGAGGATGTGACACTCCATGGGGGAGGCATGGAGGGTTTTCTTCTTGTCCTGTGCTAACATTAGACCAGAATGAAACTCTTCATGAGGAGCAAAGCATTCCCCCCTCCTCACTAACTCCTGCAAGGGCTCCTCAAGGACAGAGGGTGTCAAAGCGGTGACGAGGCAGAAGGTCCCACCTTGTGATGAACCAAGGTTTCATCACACAGTGGTACAAGTCACGCAGGATGCTGCTCTCTTGTGCTGCTCTGGCTGCCTGCAGGCACAGTGAAGGAGTTGCCAGTGGAGGCTCTGCACCAAGCTTTGCACACCCTCTGCCTGGGCTGCGTCCTCAGCCTCCTCAACCGATGGAGCACAGGGTGAGTCAGAAGTTGTCTTCCTCACCCATAAATGGTGGAGTTTGCCTTTGGGGGCTGCTGGTCTCCTTCCTTTTCTGCTTAGCCATCTGGTGACTTAGCTTTCACATTCATTCCCTTGTGAGAACAGCGTTGGTACCTTCACTCAGAGGATCTGCACAGCCAGAAGCCGTGCTACCAGCAACACAAGAGGCCCACAGAGAACAGTCATTCACTGTGGGGCTCCATACAGCACACCATGTTGAACCAATGTTCTCCTTATGTTCCTGGGAGAGCTTGGTGCTTTCTCAATTAGACATCGTGCTGGAACAGAACTGCAAGTACACTGGCATTTGTGAGGTGGATTATACTCATGACCTGGGGTTGAGCAGACTATTCTCCTCACAGCTGCAAAGCAGCTGAAAGGCAACATTCATGGAGTTAATTCCTTCTTGTATTAAGCTTTTGATTGAGCAGTGCTCTGGTGTGGATGGCTGGTAAGAGAGTGGTCTGCCCGGAATGTGTTTCTCCCAACACAATGTGTAGTCAAATGTGCAGTGAAACTTGGAGGCTCAGAGATGCTGATAGCACATCACTGCAGGGTAATGAGGAGCACCTCTGAAAACACCTCGGAGACCCCCACTATTAACAGGTACAGGAACAGTTTTTTCTCCTAAAATAACTAAAAAGCCAGCTTTATCCACCTGGAGCTGGCACTGAAGGTGCCCAGGTATCACTGGGGAGTTTGGGAATTACACTAATGACAGCAAAAAGCTCAAGTACAGAGAAAAAACCAAGCAAAGATGAACACACAGGACACTGATTGCCTTGTGTGTCTGATCAGGCCTCAGCAGTCCTCTGGACCTTTCCCAGGAAGGCTAAGAGGGAAATAGGTCAGGACACGTTTACAGCTTTTAGTGCTTAGGGGCTCGCATGAATCCTCCCAGGCCCTTGGATGGCACAAACAACACAACTGTCTTAACATCATTTGTCCAACTGCTGGAGGGGACCTCATCCCTGCTCTTGGAGGACTTTAAATGGAATGCAATGGGCATGCTTACAAGGTGGTTTATGACTTGGGAAATCGGTGTCTGTCTATCTGAGGAAGGTGTGCTCATGACTCTGCTCTCCTTTAATCCCAGACCACAAATAAAAAAGCATTTACAGCTTTCCACCTTCCCTCCTCAAACCTATTCTTTTCCCTTGGCATACAGCTCAGCCATCAGCTCTCCAGCACTCACTTCAAACACTTCTCCCCTTCCACCCCTAGGGCTTCTGCAGTAGGTCAAGGGCATCCCAGGCAGTTTAGAGTCCAAGTTCAAGCTGTTGGTTTTGGCACAGGTTTGTTGGGTTGGTTTTTTGGGGGGGCGTTTGTTATTGTTTTTCCTGCTGATTTTGGTTTTAATTTGGAAATCCTAATTCAAAATAACACACTTCTTATTTCCTCATAGCTTTGCTTTTGGGTCCTCATCTGCTTCTCCTTCCCATGAGTCAAATTTAAGCTGGAACCAAAGTCTGATCAATAGAGTTCCTTGAAACACAGTTAGTCTGTGAAAGGCCCGAAGTGTTTCTAAAAGTCATGCTTTATCATCCAAAAATCAATCAATAAAAACATACATGAAGCCAAAGGAAAATGTCAACCGACTGGATTTGGCAGACAGCTCCTCTGTGCATCTGCACAGCAGCACTTTGCTGTGGTTCCTGAAGCAAACAGAGCCACACGTACAAAGCTAGTCCAGGGCTGCGTGCCAAATCATCACATACATCTGAATTTCAGCCCCTACGGGATCGTGTGCATTAAAGAGGGATGCTCAGATGTGGTAACAGGGTACTGCCAGCCGCTCTGGGGGTAGATCCATGGGGTCCACAGTTTCCTGACTGAGGGAGAACACCACTTGGGTGGAGATCTCAAAAGCATTTGCTCTCCCAGCCAGGAATTTGATCAATTGCATTGTGTTAAAGAGTGTCTGGATGGCTCTCACAAGAAAACTGAGCCCCTCACAGAAGCAGTGTGGCCCCTGGGACTGCAGGAAAGCCATCAGTATCCTATGATAAGGCCATGAGAAGGCTGGTGAATGTCTTCTGTGAGGAAAGTCTGAGTGAGCTGGGGTTTTTCAGCCTGGAGAAGAGAATGGGGAGACCTCACTGTAGCCTTTCAATACTTAAAGGAGGCTTAAAAGAAAGATGGGGACAGACTTTTTAGTAGGGCCTGCATCAATAGGACAAGGAGTAACAGTTTTAAACTGAAGAAGGGTAGATTCAGACTAGATGTAAGGAAGAAATCTTTACAATGGGAGTGGTGAAAGACTGGCATAGTTTGCTCAGAGAGGCTGTGGATGTCCCATCCCTGGAAACATTCAACATTAGGCTGGACAGGGTTCTGAGCAAGCTGATCAAGTTGATGTCCCTGCTCATTGCAGTGGGGTTGGAACTGGGTGACCTTTAAAGGTCCCTTCCACCCCAAACCATTCTATGATTCTATGAAATACTGGGACAGAGCACCTCAGCACCAGCACATGGGGTTGCTTGCCTTATCCTCTCTGCTGGGGCTAGTGCTCCACCTGAGAGCCTGATGCCACGAAAAGCATTGCCCGAGTGTGGCTTGGGCCACTTGTCCCTGTCATCAGGGACATGCTGTGCTCTAAGCTCTGACCATGGGGCAAGCAGATGCTCACCTTGCGGTCCCTTGTGAAGACTGGCCACAAGCAGAAGCTTCCCCTTTAGATAAAAACTCCCATTTATTTACAGCCTCTCCCAGAAAACAGAGGGGAGGGGAAAGAAAGAAACCAGGGAAGAGATTAAGAGAAAGTAAGAGGAGGAGAACGGACTCCCTGAGATCTTCTGTCCCTACACTGAGCATCCATGGGGAAAAGACCAGATCTGTCTTGTTACCTTGCCACATATTCTGGGATCATGTCCAAGGGTCAAATAAATGGCTGTGATTTATGTGATATAGGTCAGGACCTATTTAACAGCCTACAAAGAAGCTCCCCCCTCCCTCCCCATTCTCCCTCTGGCTCTTGGTGACGAGAAAATAGGTCACAGGCAGGCAGTGGGGGGGATGAATCATTTCTTCTGGCAACTGCTGGGAAAAATATTTTCAGTTCCATTTAATCATAAAGCTTTTTAATTAGTTAGTTTGCAATTTTTAATGTATAGTTTATAAGCTCTTGTGTAAGGGGGCAGATTCCTGGAAGGAGAAATCACCTGCTCCCCACATCCCCTGGGTAGCAGGGATGGAGTTCACCAGTGTGGCAGAGCTTGGCAGGTCCTGGGACCATGGCCATTAGGTCTCAGCAGCCACGCAACTCCAGCCCCATGGGACAGACACACTGGCACAGTTCCTCTGCTTGCATTAGCAGAGAGGATGCAGAAGGAGCACGTTCCTTGGGGATGAAAGAGCCACAGCTGTAGACCCGCTTCACATCAGCCTCCCCTGACTCTGTAGTGCACTATGTACCCTCCATGGGAGTATGGGGTGGCTTCTCCCTGATACAACATCTTGCTTCAGCCTGCACACAGATGCCAAACTTACCTTTGGTGTGAATACACAGAAAGACAGAATTATACTGCATTTCAAAGACTGGACACTCAGCTAGTGTGGTCCAGGGAGAGACTTGATGCTCCCTACCAACCATCCCAATTCCCCACTAATGCTCCAGTAGGGGAAAGGTTGGACCCTGGCTTGGACCCTGGCTACTAGGCTCTCCCTGCAATGGGTCCACCAGCCACAAGTGCTGGAGAGGTGAAGGAGGAAACTCCTCCTAAAGACCAGCAGCTTTTCCACACCCACAGTACCTCCACAGTCATTGGAACCACCAAAAGCTTGACAGCCCCTGCCACCTCCATGGCCAACTACAACCAGAGAGGTAACCTCCTGACCAACCAACTGCTGTAGCCAGTGTTAGACCCTTACAGGAAGCTTTGCACCACCTCCTCTCCCCAAAACGTGTCCCTGACCCCAGCCAAGGTCCCGCAGTACCTTCTCATAGTATTGCAGCTCATAATCCAGGATGACTCCATTGGGTTGGTCAGGCTGAGACCATGAGAGGGTAATGCTGTCCACGGTGCGGCTGACCTGGTGCATGATGGACACAGCTGAAGGAGCTGGAAGAGAGATCAAGAGAGAGGCCTCAGTCAGATGCCTGCTACATCCCCTGGCTGGAGGTAGGCAGGTGTATTACTGATGCTTGAAGCTAATTAACTTGCTTCCAGCAGTGGCAGGGCTGCTCAGGGGTCAGGGGATCCTGGCTGCTGCTATTTGCAGAGAGCAGCTAGGGGAGGACAAAATGCTTCTACTGCCCAGTAAGAGTTTGTAATTAGACAGCATGCAGACAGTGTCTCAGGCAGGAAAACAGACCATTCCCAGGCAAAGTGAGGCCAGGGTCAGAGCAAACACAACCTTATTCCCCTGGAAAAAGCACTACCAGCCCAGCAACGTGCAATCCTCTCTGCTTGCCTTGGGGAAATAGGGGTTTTGTACTTTGACATTTGCATAGAGAAGCTTTCTAAGGCATAGGCAGACGCAGGAAGCAAGCAGCTCCTCTCTGCCTCGGTGTGCTGGCTCTGCAAGCTGCACATGCCAATCAGGGGAGGCGCAGAGAGCAGCCTGAGCAGGCAATGCAAACCTGACCTGACACACTGACAATGGTGAGCCACCCGCCTCGCCAGCGTGCCCTGGAAACAGCACACCCACAGATGCCACTCGTCCCACTGTGCACAATGAGACCTTGCAGCAGCCTCTCAGACAGCCCAGGCAGATGTCCACCCCTTCACCCTCCTGTGCTGCCTGCATGGCTTCACACACGGCCAGGTAGGAGCAGTGCAGCCACAGCTGGGATCACACCATGGGGAAACGCTCCTCCAAGGACCTGTGCTGACAATCCCATGTGGCAGGACCTCAGCATGGAGCTGCCAGCTGACCAGCTCTGTTCCTGCCTGATGTGGGCTGGGGCAGGTGAGCAAGCAGCCTGGACTGCTTTCAACGTGGGCTGGCTCAGCCATTGATGGCAGAGATGCTTCAGCACTGCAGGTATCTGCCTACAGCCCCCTTGCTGGAGGGGTTGGAACACGGAGGTGCCTGTGCTGCCCTCTCTTCACTCTGAGAGCAGTGAGCAGAGCACGGGCCCTTGTCCACTCGGTGCCCAGCCTGCAGACAGCAGAGCCAATGCAGTCTGCATGGACGTCAGTCCAGAGCCCATCCCAGACATCACACATCACCAGCCCAGCCCTGGAGAGTGCTAGCTCCAGCAAAGCCAATGCAGCCTGCATGGATGATAGTCCAGAGCCCATCCCAGACATCACACATTACCAGCCCAGCCTTGGAGAGCGCTAGCTCCAGCAGAGCCAATGCAACCTGCATGGATGTCACTCCAGAGCCCATCCCAGACATCACACATCACCAGCCCAGCCCTGGAGAGTGCTAGCTCCAGCAAAGCCAATGCAGCCTGCATGGATGATAGTCCAGAGCCCATCCCAGACATCACACATCACCAGCCCAGCCTTGGAGAGTGCTAGCTCCAGCAAAGCCAATGCAGCCTGCACGGATGATAGTCCAGAGCCCATCCCAGACATCACACATCACCAGCCCAGCCCTGGAGAGTGCTAGCTCCAGCACAGCCTTAGCCCTGGCACATCTGCCAGCACAGACTCACTGCTTCAGCAGCTTCAGGGCAGAGGGCAAGCCTCTGGGATGGGAGAGAAATGGAAAGTGGTAGCAAGAACACTTCCCCATCACTTGCATGCCAGGCCTAGTTATAAATGGATGCAGAGAGGCTTGCACTCAGAAGGGCTTTTACCAGGTCCAAACCTTTCAATATTTCATGGAAGAACAACTCATTTGACAGCTCTGAGAAACAGTTTGGAAGAGTGGCACACAAAGCAAAGCATCAATTACCCGTCTCCAGTCTGGTTTCCTTTGGCACTATGAGCAGCGACAGAAACTGTGCCAGCTGAGGGCTGCAGACACAGCAGCCGTAGGACTGTGCTACTTGGACCAGGGTGGCTGCAGCATGTTCTTGCACATTGCTGTAATGAATTACAGCTGAGCAACTGCTCTCAAAGTATACCAACAGAAGCCATCCATCTGCCTCTTCACTACTGGGTTTCTGGATTCAGAGCCCTGTAGCTCTCAGGATGTTCAATGCCTGTGTGCCAAGGGGAAGAAGGGCTGGATATGGTAAAGCAAAATCTGCCACTGCACTGCTCCATCATTTCCCTCATCTCCTTGGGTTGCCCCACTCTTGAAGGAAGGTGCAAGGCAGGCTAGCCTCAGCAAAGTGTTGATCACCAGGTTTGTCCTGCACTCATTAAAAGTGCAGAGAACTTCCATCAATGGAAGTATCCAAGGTCAGGTTGGACAGGCGTTGCAGCAACCTGATCTAATGAAAAATGTCCCTGTCCATACCAGGAAGGTATCTTTACAGGTACCTTCTGACCCAAAGCATCCTCTGATTCAAACAGATCCCGAGACCAGCGCCTAACCTCCTCCTAAACACCAATCCTTCCATTTGCTCCTGGCTAAGCCAAACCCTGTTACCCACCAGTCTGCAACTCTCCACCATCGCAGACCATCCCTTATCCCTTATATCCTAGTCCCACTGCTACAGGGCCCATCTTGTAAACTCCTGGGATTAGTTTCTCACACTGGTGTTGAGATAAAACAGAGGTAACAGTTCTGGAGCCTTGACAACACATTTCACAGGACATCTGCAATCTCCAAGACAAGTGTTTCTCCCTGTGGAGAAAGGCCTTGGAAGGAAGATGTGACCAAGCTACAGCATGGGATGGGGACCGAGTACACAGCCCATGGTCCCTCTGGCACATCCGAGCTGCACACGCTCTGGGAACCCTTCCCACACTAATACAGGCTGCTCCAGGACAGGGGCTGCATACACCCAGACCTGTCCCACCACAGAACTGGGATGTGGCAACATTCCATGATTCAGACACAGGTTCCATGGCTGGCCTTGCAGCTGCAGAAGCATCTCAGCTTTGGGTCCCTCCGGGTAGGAGCAAGGACCCTGGGATGCTTTTCTGCCACGTCCATGCATTGTGTGCCAGCCTGGGAGCACAAGGCTTCTGCAAGGCATCTCCTGCTTCCTCCATGCTGAGGAAGCTACAGAAGGTAACAGCTAGAGCATCATGTGAATCATCTGTGACCAGCCATGGCCCAGGTAGGCAGCTGTGGAACACGGTGAACCTGTCCTCATCTGGCTTAGAAAAGAGAGAACCAAACAGATGAGGTGGAGCTCATCTGATGAGCCTTCATGAGGCAAACACATGGCCTGCTGGGGAGGAGGCGAATGGGATGAGTGACTACCGCAAGTTCAGCACTTCTCTTCTACCTGGGGCAAAGGAGTGTCTCTGCATAGGCAGGGATCTCCACCACTGCATCTTCTCAGTGACTGCTCTTGCTATCACAGACACAGGGGAAATGCACCATAATAACATCACAGAAAGACTTAGGAGGTTTCCAGCCCAGCTCGCTTGCAGGATCATTTCAAAATCAGCCTTGTCTAGGCTCGAGCTTGGGACTTCACCTTAATGCACCAGGAGCTGAGCACACGTCTCTGCTCATGGGCAGCTCTGCAGGATGAATGCAGGGGGGTGTCAAAAGCTCTTATTGTCTGGCTTTTCTGCAGCCCACACAGAGGGCAAGAAGCTGCCTGAGCTCAGCTACTGGAAACGCTTGGGAAGGATGGGGATCCAGATGTACCCCACCTTCAGGTCTTAACGGCAGAGCCTGTTGAAAATGGTAGAAAAGATGAAGGGAAATAAGGAAAGGCGAGGAGACAAGAAGGAAAGAAACCTGAGTTTTCCAGGAGAAACAGACACTTTTAGCCAATACCTGAAAGAAGGTCACAGCGACTGCAAAACCCAGGGCAGCTTGATGGGATAGCACAAGGACGGGTCAATTCTGCAGGCAACTGGGAAAAGCTACCCTAACATTTGGTCTGAACATCAGCACAAGACTGGCCACAGAAGGCAGGCAGTGAGATAATCACAGCTGAAACACTTGGGGTGACCATCTGCGTGCGTTATAGACAGACACCCCGATCTCTCTGAGGACTTTGTATTACGATGAGCCCGCTGTGCTCCCTGTGAGGTTTGCCTTGCAGTTACTGGCCCTGTTCTAAAATGCACCTATTATTTTCAGGTTGAAATGGATGGGCTTCAGCTTCCAAGGGCTGGAAGTTTAGAAATGGACTTCTGTCCTCATAGAAGAAGTGAAAGATCACGGAAGTATTTCCTTTTCCTCTGTTATCTGAGTTTCTTCACGGATTTATCAGCCCACGGATCAATCCGATGACTCTCTTCTGAACCTTTCCCAGTTTTCTGTTAACCTCTTTTTTAAATACAAACCCCAAAACTGATGGCAGTACCCAGTAACCATCTCTAGCCAGTAACCCTAACCCTAACCCTAACCATCTCTTTCAGCTCCAGAGACAGCATCCACCTCCTCACTCAGGTCTGCTATTGCCCTGTGTCCAACAGGACACTCCTCAGCCAGCTTGTGCAGAGCTGCTGTTCCCTCTCTGCTGCTTCCTTCACTCTGTGCACTTCACTGCTGAGGCAGGGTTGGAACAAATGCCTCGGGACCCAGGACACTCCTTCATTCCCTATAACCCTGTGTCGTGCTGGGAGCAGGGCGAGAGGCCCTGGATGCATCTGAAATCAGAGCAATTAGTAAAATTGCTATGTAAAGCTTAGGGCAATTCGTTACAATAAAACTGACAAAAAGCAGCAAGGGGGCATCACACAATGTATTGGGTGAATGGGAAATAAATAGGCCCATTTTCCTCCTTGGTGTTACATCCCTGAGTTGTACCATTTAGAGGCATTGTTAGGAAGATTGAGTGTTTCCCTCCCCTACCCATACCCACAACACCAGGTTTTCTATCTGGCCAAACAAGACCAGGAGTCCTCAGGACATCTGCTGGGGCACCTTCCTCTTTTATTGAAGCAGCATCCATCTGGGAGCTGTTACCTTTCTCCTAGCCCTGTTTCTTCAATATCCTATGGTGACCTCCCTCCTATACCACTTCTACCTTCTCACTACAGAGAGACCAAGAATAAAGACGTAAGAGTCTATGAGGAATCATTTA